TCACATACCCTGCTTAGTTGCCCTTAAGCTATTCCATTGTTAAGTATTAAGAAAAGGAAATGTATTGGAATTCTATCATGCAGCTGGGAGCCAAAGGACTAGGGAACAAGAGAATATAACTTTTCCTTACTTCATTCTATTTTTCTAGATATCTCCTTCTGAGTGGGGGAGGCACCTAAGTCAAGACACTATTAGATATTACTAGGTCCCTCTAATAAAAGTGTCATTTCTATATAAGTTAAGAACATACTAYAGTTTCTGAACATATTTTTCTTTTTCTTCTTTCCTTCTTGTACTGGGGATTAAATCCAGGGGCTCTCTACCACTGATCTGTGTCTACAGCCCCTGCCACTTTTTTTTTTTTTTTTTTGGTAAGTCAAGGGCTAAATTCCTGAGGCTGACCTTGAATTTGTGAACTTCTTATTTTAGCCTCTCTAGTCGCTGGGATTGTAAGCATGCACCATAGCACCTTGCCCAATTTCTTAAATAGTATAAGGATAAACCTTGAAAATTTGACCATTTACTAGAAATTTTAACATCTAGAAGGCCAAAGCAATGAAAAATCCAGAAGAAACTTCAGAGATGCAAGTGATAAAGTATGATACATTGTACAATCTATGCGCTTCTATTTTTGCTTTTTTTCAATTACTATTAATTCTTTCATTTTATTATTAATTAAAATGAACTCTTTATATACATGTGAACATATCTGCAAGAGATACTTAAGGATGCATACCAACAGGTGTCTACCTGTAGGACACTCTTCACTACAGATCTCAAAATGAAGACCATACTAATCAGTTGGTAGCTGAAATGCTGGTCAAGAATTTGCAAGAACACAGCCTCTGACTGATATTCATGCATCCTGGACTCTTTGCCAAAGGATTGCAATACTCTTAAAAACATACTCCAAAACCACAAATGGTCTCAGATTAACAGGTCCTGCCTTTAGGGCTCAACAGTCTAACTCCTACTCTGTCCAGTTTCCTCTTAACCTCTGAGTTACAATAAGAAATGGAAATACTGGCAAGGAAAAAAAAAGTTCAGTATCTACTACATGGAAGCATTTCCTCTAAAAGAGAAACATAAAAGTTTATTCAAAAAGAAAACCACTCTAAAAAAATGAATCTGTAAAAAATAGTTTTCAAAAGATGGTAAATTTGGGGAGAACTGACAGTTTTCATGTAACCATCACTTCCAGGAATCGAGAAAGTTATTTCTTTCAGATGTACTTTCATGTTAAGATACTCATGTCAGGTTGGGAAAGTGTAGGTACTCTCTCCAGTTCATACAGAAGTTGTGGCACATCGTGTTCAAAGAATTGAGAGTGACCCATCCTGAGACACACATGGGGGACGGTAGCAGAGTTAGAACAGAAGTTCTAAGAGACAAGACAAAGAAAATAGGTCTGCACTTCTCTTTTTTATAAATGATCCAGGAATATGTGTACAAGGAACATCTCATCTTACCACAATAACTCTTCTATGTTGGGTTTCCAGATAAAAGTACTGAGTATCCAGTTAAATTGGAATTAAATAACAATTAATTTTTAATATAGATATGTCACATGAAACAGCAGTGAATTTTCAATATAGGTATGTCACGTCACATTTTTAACACACTTATACTTAAAAAAATTCAATGTTTATCTAAAATGCATTTTAACTGGGTGTTCTATGCTTTATTTGCTAAAATGTGTCTTCAAAAATTACCTGTAAATGCCCTCGRCTCACAACTTTTTACCTTCAACCCACACATACCCCCTGAATTCCAGACTCACAAAATTAATTGCTCACTGAACACCTCTGTTTAAGTGTCTACTGGACATTTTAAACTCAACAGATTTCCAACTGAGCTGCTATCTGTCACCATGCCCTTCCTCCCCCCAGACCAGCTTTTCCTGCAGTCTGCCCCACCCCAGTTAAGTTTCCATTCATCCATTACTTGGATCAAAAATTCAATATCATCCTTACCTCCATTTTCTCTTCCATTTCAATCCCTGTATGAGTTTTGCAATTCAGATGAACTCTATGTTTCATATGCTTTAAGTTTAAGGCTAGATAATGGGTTTAGGCAGTCAATGAAGAAATAAATTCCCAAGGGTATTTGCACAGTTTTTTTCTGGGCCTGAGATGTCTTGTCCTTGGAATCAGGGAGTTCTTGCCACATTTGTGCCCATGGACCAAGAAATGACTGTGCTTAAAAAAGGGCAAAGGTGGCAACATCTTTTCATTTATAAATTTGGCCCTAGTGTTTCACTTTCACTTCCAAAAGCACCACTGAAAACTTTTCATGAGAACTGTTGTTAACAATTTTAGAGTGAGCATATAGCTTTCTGGACTCTCAATACATCTTTGCCAACCAGATGACAAAGGAGTTTTATGAAAGCAGAAGAGAATGTACACAGTATATACTGGCATCATATCCAAATCAACACTTCAAGGTACAGATCTCCTGAACATTTATTGCCAGTTCTTTGTTTAATATGAAAAAAATGGTTAATCTGAGGCTTGTCAGGTCTGTCTTATCAAACATCAAGAAATATAAAGTTTATATAATCAGAACAAACTAATTTTCAAAAATCAATTCCAGACCAGTAAGTAGTTTTTCGAAGTTTCTACCAGCTGTTACCCTCTGAGATTCTCAATGAAGAACAATGGTCTATTCTCTACTTTAATGCATGTTAACTGCAAACATGACATTAATGCCAGAGAAGAGCAACTAAAGCATAAAGAGGTTTATAGTATTTTCAGATATTTATGGRCTGGTGTTCAGCAGAGCCAAATTGAAAGCCAGCACTTTGTGTCATGAAGCTTTGCTACCTACGTCAGCATGTCAAGAGTAACACCTCATACAACATTCTGACAAGGGTGAGTTCATATTCATAAACATCTAGCATGTTAATAATGTAACTTACAAAAGTGGCCAGGTCAAAAACAAGGTAGGTACCCATGTGAGAAAACGAATTGAAAAKATGAATAGTAAAAACTACCTTGAATTCCTTTACCCAATAACCAAAGATTTGTACTAAAGTTTAGAATAAATGACAGAGGTAGCAATATATATCGTTTATGTGGAACACAAAAGGGTTAGGAATTTCTTAAAGAAATTTAATAATTGCATTTGACAAAAAAGTTCATTGTAAATTTCAATTTTATAATTACCTCTCTAGTATATTGACACATTAGCTACATATCATGCATTTTTCTTAGATTTCATATTTTGAGGGAACAATCAAATTTGAATGAATGACCTAATTTTAAAAAATCTTTGTTCATTTCAATGTCAAAAGTTTCCATAACTTTCCATGCCTTGTCAAGAACATAATGGGGCATGTTTTATTCTGTTGGKATGCCCAGGTCTCTAAACTTTTAAAAGATTCTGTCATATGGTGAAATATTCCTTTCAAGCCTAGATTTTTAAAAAATTGATTGTTTTTTCAGCATGTCTGAAACCTAGTTATTAGTTCCCACAAATATTAGTTGTATAGTCAGCCTGTAGAAGAAGTTTCATAGATGCCCAGTCAAAGCTGTCATATCTGAAAGACTATCTTTACGTGTGTGAATGTGTGTGTGTGTGTGTGTGTGTGTGTGTGTGTGTGTGTTGTGTGTGTTTATTGTGGTAGGGGGATAAATTCTATGAAATTGTCAAGAACACTTTCAGTATTCCAATTTAGCAGTATTTTCACCCATTTCTTATAAAGACTTCCCATGGTTGGTTTTCTTCCCACTGATGAATTGACTAACTCCAAATGCACATGTGTCACTTTATCCCATCATCTTCCCGTGGGTCTCATGGTGACTCTGCTTTCCAAAAATACAAATCAAATGCTTTAACCCTCAKATTTTGTCAATTAATAATTTCCAATTATCTATTTTTACTTGAATATTTCATGATTTACTTGTATTTACTGATTCTCTCAGGTCATTTGAAACACTGAAATATATACATGACAGCAATCATACTATTCAAAATATTCTCCTGCACATGGCACCGAGAGGAAAACTACCCACCCTAAGTATAGCTATTAATGTCAAACAGATTGTCATCTGGGAAAACAAAAATGCATCAAAATCAATTTCGGACAAAGTACAGCTCTATGGAAAAACACCAGGTTTTTATGTGCAAATGTCTTCAATGTCTGATTGAAATGTTTAAAGAATGAGTTAGCAAGGAATCTGTTCCTGGTCTGTGTAATCCAGGACAATGTAATAAAAACACTTTCAAAGCTTAAAGGTTTTTAGTTACAGCTGACTATGATTTTACCAAAGATGCATTTGCCCCAGTTTCTTGTAAATATTGTAAAGAAACGTTTGGATTCTAGCTTGGGTCGAGGGCTCTATTTAGCCTATCAAGGCACAGACCTGTTATAAACGCTGGGGCGCTTGCCAGAATTTTTTTCCCCTGAAACTCTGAGTAAAGATCGTACCTCGAAAGCAATGTGCGTTGCAAACCACGCAGATTTAAGCTCCTACTCCTGCCTCCCTAGCTTGGCACCAACGGCTTCTGGGATATCCTTCGCCTCCTAAATTTCAAACCAAATTGCCAAACCCCACCACCATAATGCCACCATCCTTGCATAGCCCTCAGGGGCTCAGTATAGAGTCTCCCAGGGGCACTTGCAGCCTTCCACGTCCTTGCAGGGTAAATTCATAGTGCCACCAGCTTCCAGCTCAGCACCCACCTACAAACGCTCCTGTACTGATTCTGCTACAAACTGCCCCCAAATTAGTCACCCACCTCACCCCTACCCCACGTCCGGGACTTTTTTCCCTTTCCTCCTAGTGGCTTTATATTCAACACACCTGTCTACTCCTACGGCTGCCAGACGTCAGGTGCCCACGCTGTGCCCCATCCCGCGCCCCCTCAACCAGACTGGCGCTTCCACCTCCGCCCCGCGGCTGGTCAGTTTACTCCGAGCACCCTCTTTTTCTCGCCCGTGTGCTCACCGCCCCCAATTCCCACCCTCGAGAGCGCAGGTGGAAAAACACCCACTGTACCTGCCGAGAGTTCGGCGGCCACTGCAAACAGCAGGAGAGCCTGGAGGAGCGCTGAGCGGAGCGCCGGGGTCATGGCCACTCGGCGGCCGCGCTGGGGCTGCGGGGCCCCAGAGTTGAGCAAGGCAGCTGGGACAGCGCGGGCCTCTTTGAAGTTCCCGGGGCGCGGGAGGGGAACGCAGCCCCGACACCCTTTTGAAGTGTGCTGTTGGCTCTAGTCTGTGCGGGCGCCCCCCTCCTCTGCCACCCCCATCCCACGCCCCCTGCGGCTGGCGGTGCGCGGCGCTCCTACCACTGGCCCCAGCAGCCGGCTGGGAGGGGGCGGAGGGGGGGTGCGACAGAGCCCGCCCCTGCCGCGCCTCCACCCCCTACGCCCTCTGGCAGGCACCCGGCCAGGTGGTGAGGGACAGGCGGACCAAGGCGGCCCGATGGCGGGGCAGTGAGATCGCCCAGAGTCAGAGTGAAGAAAGAGGAGGTGGTGGGAGAATGGCACTGAGCCCCCAAGGCTACTCGGTGAGTGGAGTCAGGACAGGAGGGAAAATCCCGTCGAGACTTTAGGGAAACTTAAAATTATGCAGCAGTTGCTTCCTGGTGATCTGCTCTTGTCGAAGATCCACTCTTCCAGGTCTTTTGACACTCGTTTATTTGTCCAGCTTAACTAGAATGTAACTAGTCTGCGCCTTGAGAATACCCTCCGGTGTGCCTGCGGATTTGTCCCACCAAGTCCTGGCTGTTTGTGCGTTAGTGGAAGTGCGCCCTCTCTGTCCATCCCTGGAAATGACCAATTTCCCGACTGCCTTCGGGACCTACAACTTTGTCTGGTGTCTTTCAGAAACCCTCTGCTCTAAGAATGGCGACCAAACTGGGCCACCTACAGCAGGTGATGTCATCATCTGCAAWCTGTAAAAGATTTTTAGGACCCGATCTAGAAAGGTATCTCAGCAGCTACAATTTTAGCAATTGAAGATCTGGGGAAAATATTATACACACCAACAAGGAGAAGAGTTTAAAGTAATATATTACAAGCATTACTTAAAATATTACTTAAACCCCTAGAGGCTTATTGTTGAATAGAGGTGCTTCCCGTCTAATTTGTGACTCAAAACACAAGGGCAACATTATCAATTGAGAGAAATTAGCCTAAACTCAATGCAGCTTGAATATAAAAGTGAATGGGATTATTTTCATGTGAACGGCACGAAAAACCAAGAATACAATACTGATGTTATTACTGCTATTAGAGGGTTCCTTGAAAAGTGATTGAGTCATATAAATTAATTGCTTTAGAGGAAGAGATGACGTGCTTCTTCACTTAGCTCAGCATTAAATAGTGAGTGTTCTTTATGTCTATGAAATACCTATTGTATTTTTTTTTAAAGTCAGGGTGGCTGGGGCTGGGGATGTAACTCAGTGGTAAAGCATTGGTGGGTTCAATCCCCAGTAACTAAAAATATAAATGGCCCTATTGTCAAAGGGCCATTTTGTCATTGTCACAATATTGTAGACAGGATGGTTGTTGAACTTTGAGGCATGAGGGTGACAGTCCCAAGAATATCTACCACCACCAACTTGTGTGAATCAAAACATTCCTAGGTATAAGAAAGACTTATTCTCATTTAATTCTGATAYAAACAAACAAAAAATGGAGACATGGGACAAGTCAGGGCCCTTCCAAACACCCACAAAGCACATACTTTAAAATATACGTATATAAAAGAAGCAAGAAATACTGGGACATATATTTTGACWGGCTTGGTTGCTCATTATTTGGTAACTGTACCCTAGATTGTGATAGCCAGTTGGATCATGAGAGTTGGAGCTTGAGGGAAATTTAGTACACTCTCTGGGTCTGCTTCCTTAAATAAAAATAAATGGTACTTAATTCCTCCCTATTTCTCAGAACTACAACTGGATTAAAAAAGGTAGTATATGTGAAAGCACTGTTAAACTATAGGCATTAAGTAATGTCAAGTGTTTACTCCCCACATATTTATTTTGTCTTGAATGCAGTAAGCAATGTCCTCTGCGAGTCGGAAAGCTCTTCTTTTCTAAGAAAGCAAGGTTATTATACCAAGAAATCTGATGCAGAATAACTCAATATTCTGAACAAAAGCATTGCTTTCCTCTTAGTCAAATGGTGCATTGTCAATACAGTATCTACTAACCAATGTGAATATTGAACACTTGAAATGTAGCAGACCAAATTGACATGTACTGTAAGAGTAAAATACATGCTAGATCTCAAAGAATTAGCAAAAAAAAAAAAAAGACCCACAAGACTGTAAAATACATTATCAATGACTTTTACATTGCTTACAAGTTGACATAATATTTTGGGCAGATTGAATTAAATAAAATACAGTTGTGTACTGCATAACAACATTTCAATCAATGACAAACCTCATATACAACAGTGTTTCCCTAAGATTGTAATAGAGCTGAAAATTTCTATTGCCTTGTGACACGATAGCTCTCCTAAAACTATAATACATTACGTTATTCGAATGTTTGTGGTGATGCTGGTATAAACAAACCTATTGTGCTGCCAGTCACATAAAAGTATAATAGAATTATGTACAATGCATAGTATTTTATAATGATAAATGACTATTACTGGTTTATATATTAACTGTATTATATTTTTATGTTAGAGTGAATTTCAATATATGTTTATTATGTTTATCTTTAGAGTCTGTGTGTATTCATATATAGTACAACAAAATTTTAGATAAAAAGACTTAGGGAGTAGAGATATAAAGAAAGAAAATATTTTTGTACAGCTATAAAATGTGTGTTTTAAGCTAAGTGATATTATGAGCAAGTCAAAAGTTTTTTAAATTAGAAAGTTTATACAGAAAAAGGTTATAGTAAGCCAAGGTTAATTTATTACTGAAGAAAGATTTTTTTTTTTTACAAACTGAATGTAATCTACATATACAGCAGTGCACAGTGATATCCCAGGCTTTGCATTCACTCACCACTCACTCACAACTCACCAGAGCAATTTCTAGTCCTAAAGTTCCATTTGTGGTAAGTGCCCTATATAGTTGTACCACTTTAGTTTATTTCAATGTGTTTATTATAACTTTTCTTGTTTAGATATATTTAGCTACATAAATACTTACCATTGTATTATATTTGCCTACAGGATTCAGTGCAGTAACATGCTATAGAGGTTTGTAGCCTAGGAAAAGTAGGCTATACCTTGCAGCCTAGGTGTATAGTTGGCTAGATTTGTGTAAGTACACTCTATGATGTTTGCCCAAAGATAAAATTGCCTAATAAATACATTACTCAAAACTTATCCCATCATTAAGTGGTGCACAACTATATATTATTAAAATTAATTTTATCCATTCTTTTATCCTTTTTAATGTGTGCTGTAATTTGGATAAGTGTCCCCTAATGGTACAGATATTAAATACCTGATTCCCCACTACTGGTGGCACTATTGGAAGGTGCTGGAAGCTTTAAGAGGCAGGGACCTAGCAGGAGGTCTTTAGGTCATTGGGGATGTGACCTTGAAGGACATAGGGAGGCCCCACCTTCTTCCCCCTCCCCCTTTTCAATTCCCAGCCATGAGGCAAGCTGTTTTGCTCTGCCACTAATTCCCATCCTGAATTGCCACCATAGCCCCAAAGCAACAGGGCTAACCAACTATGGGCTGAAATCTGTAAATATGTGAGCCAAAATAAATCTTTTCTTTTTTTAAGTTGATCATCTCAGGTATTTGTCATAGTGACAGAAAACTGAATAACACAATATGACAACTAGACAATTTTAACTTACATATGAGGCTCACATTATATCTCTTTTGGACAGTACTGATCTAATTAAGTCTTATTAGATGGGAAAAATCCTTACCTTGTCTGAAAAACAATATGAAAAAAATAAAAAAAGAGTGCTAGGTGTCTGGCCAGTCAATATGTAGTCAGCCAATAAAGGAATCAGGATCTTTTGAATTCTTGGTGCAAAGTTCTGGAACACTACAAAAAGGTTAATATGTCAAAAATTTAAGCKCTTTATTTGTAAGAGTATTTTAACTTATGTCTTTAAATACCATATTCCCTATCTTATTATGCATGTTCCAGTGTCAGTACTCTGAAACCCTTCAAGCAAGGTATTAACCACTCTCAATGTATTAGATCCCAAAACCTGGAAATTTATATACTTGGCAGTTGTAAATATTTCTAACAAGTTTGAGTCCTTAATGTCACCTTCATGGCTAACAAGAACTGCATCCTTAAAATGTGTCCTGACTTATACTTTATTTACACACATACATGCACATATGTCTACATATCCCTTTATGGCAGTTAACCCAGTCTTATAAAATGAACTACCATTGGGGCTGGGGTTGTGGCTCAGCAGTAGAGCGCTTGCCTCACCCCTGCGAGGCACTGGGTTCAATCCTCAGCACCACATTTAAAAAWAAATAAATAAACAAACAAAATAAGAAGGTATTGTGTTCATCTACAACTAAAAATATATATATATTTTAAAAAATGAACTACTGTTAAGAAAATACTATGGATCAGGTGTGGTGGGTCATGCTAGTAATCCCAGCAACTCAGGAAGCTGAGGCAGGGAGATCACAAGTTCAAAGCCAGCCTCAACTTAGCAAGTCTGTAAGCAACTTAGTGTAGACCCTTTCTCAAAATAAAAAATAAAAAGGACTGGGTGGTTAAGCACCCTTGAGTTCAATCCTTGGCCCAAAACAAACAAAAAACTCAGCTGTAGAGTATTAAGATGTTCCTACTACTTAATATGCACAATAGAGAKTCATCATTCAAGATGTGTTATAACACACTTCCTTCATATAGTTGTACATAACAGAAAAAAATTTACTTGAAAGATTTTAAAATTTCACTAGAAGGAATTTACATGCAAATATATTTTTCATCATTTAACTTCCCCTCCAAACACCTAGTTGTACATATTCATTGCCATAGCAACATTACATCCTGACTCCTGGATTCTCAACAAAAGAAAACAATAATAAATAACTGAGAGTATATAACTTCTCAGCAAAACAGATTTTATGAGTAAATCCTATATAAGCAAAAAGAAAGTATGTATAAGGACTTTAAACTATAGAGATACGACACATTTGCAGATTATCATTTCAAACTCATAAGGCACATACGTGTGTAATAACTGAACTTTGAAAAAGACTGTTTCTTAGCGGCTGGAGTGTGGCTCAGCAGTAGAGCACTTGCCTTCCACCTGTGAGGCACTGGTTCCATCCTCAGCACCACATAAAAATAAATGAACAAAATGAAGATACTATGTCCATATATAACTAAAAATA